AGCTTCTTGGTTACTAGCAGAGATGAGATTGAGCGTCGATTTAGTAGATGTGTGTGGAACTACTGGCGACATCTCATTTAATAATTTTTTTTGTAATATAGCAAGTTAGGGGACCATCTCTGCTCTCCTTAGTTTTAAGTTCGGGGACCATCTTCGCTCTCCTTTGTTTAACTTAGTGGACCATCTCCGCTGGTCTTTGGTCAACTTTGGGGACCGTCTCCGCTCTCCTTTGTTTAACTTAGGGTACCATCTCCGCTGAACTTTGTTCAACTTTGGGGACCATCTCTGCCCACCATATCTAAGCCCTGTTTAATGTCTTCACATCATTGTTAACACACATTTCATTCTCCCCCTCTGTAAGTTCAATCTTCACCCACCCTAATTTAACTCCGAGGGACCGTCACATCATTAACGTGTGTCTTTCTTTCTCTCACTACTGCTGCAGGTTCCTGGAGTATCTGTCTGACTTGTGCATCTCTAACCTATAGGCTACAATCTCTGCCCACCATCGCTGCTAAACTTTATTTATTCTCATCATATCATTGTTAACGTGTGTCTTTCTTTCTCGCACGGCAGGTTCCTGGAGTATCTGTCAGACCTGTGCGTCTCTAACAACGTAGCCATCCCCATCACGCAGGAGCTGATTTGCAATGCTGTCCTCAATCCCAGGAACTTGGACATCCTCTTGGAGACGAGGTATGCTGGCGGCGCGGTGCCGGGAACGGGGATCGGTGAGGGCGAGGACGGGTTAAGGGGGTTAAAAATTGAAGCAGAAAGTTTAAAATCAAAGTGGGAAGTTTAAAATCTAGTCAACAAATTTTAAAATTCAAGATGAAAGTTTTGATATCGAAGTGAAATTATTAAAATCGAGTTTTAAATAATTTTAAAATTTAATTAGCATTTAAATCAATTTTATTCAAATCAACATGTAATTTCTAATGTAGATTTTAATTATTTAAATGTAATAATGTAATTCAACTTCTATCTGATTTGCCGTCACGCCCCTCACCTGTGATTTACCTGTGCCATGCCCCTCACCTGCGCTCGTTAACCACCTGCGCTCGTTAACCACCTGCGCTCGTTAACCACCTGCAGACTCGTGAAGACACAGGTGGAGGTGGAGAGAGACGACGTGCCCCACGGAGACCTGGTCGCGTACGAAGAGGAAGAGGAAGTCTTCCTCTACTGGGACAGCGGCAGGAAGAGCAAGAGCATCCGGGAGCTGGCTATGGGAGCCTCCAGCGGGAAGTCAGAGGACGCGAAGATACTGCAATACTACAGGTGGTGCAAACATACATACATACATACATACATACATATATATATATATAGTATATATAGTATACACACATAGATACATATATATATATATATATATATATATATATATATATATGTATACACACACATAGATACATATATACATATATATATAAATATATATATATACACACAAGATACTGCAGTACTACAGGTGCTGTATTATTTATTTAAAAAATTGTTGTAATATATGTAACAATATAATATATACTTGAAAGCGTAAATAAATTTCAAAATCTAAAAAAAAAAAAACTAAATTTGTAGTCACACACGGCGGCAACCGCACGCTCACTTGTTTCTCGAAACACGTTCTTTTGTTTTGTCTCCACGACGACGCAGGTACCAGCTGGATCTGTTCGCTAAGATGTGTTTGGACAGACAGTACCTCGCCATTGACAAGCTCTCTCCTCAGTTAGACATCGACCTAATCCTCAGGTAGGCGGCCATGTTTGTTCCCACCCTGCCTACTCGGGTAGGCGGCCATGTTTGTTCCTACCCCGCCTACTCGGGTGGGCAGCCATGTTTGTTCCCCCACCCTTCCGCCTCCTCGGGTCTCATATCTCATTGTCTCATGATGTTGTCTCGTTTCTCATATCTCTCGTTGTGCCCTGACTCGTGTCTCATGTCTCTCTTTGAACCCTGTCTCGTGTTAATGTTACGGGAATGTAAAATAAAAACCTTTTACGAAACAAAACTCTTGTCAATGGTCTACGAAAAAAAAGTTGACATTAAGGTTAAGACTTATGTTCAAACTATCTTAGTTTCCGACAACGGGCCCCAGAACTATAGACGAACAAAAATAACTCAAACACCGGAAACAATAGATGAATAGCCCGAGAACCAGCGAGCCGCATAACAAGTGAGCATGCGTGTGTTCGTCTGCTAGGTGCGTCGAGGACGCGGCGTTGCCTCACGACCTTCGTGCGTCCTTCTGCAACCTCATGGTGCACATGCACATCGACCGCGATCCTCAGGAGATCGTGATGCCAGTGAGATACGCTCGCCTGTGGAAGGAGATACCGGAGCAACTCAGCATAGCAGAGTACGTATCAGGAGTGAGGGTGAGGGGGAGCGGGAGCGGGGTGGGAGGTTGGGGAGGGGAGGGGGTGGGAGGGGGGAGGAGGAGGAGAGGCTTGCAGGTGTGAGGCGGGTGGAGCGTGGGGAGAGGGACGAAGCGAGGGAGGGAGGGAGGGCGAGGGAAGAAGAAGGGGAGGGGAGGGGGAGGGGCAGTTCCAGTTGCGGGGCTGATCTGTTAAGGCACATCACAGTCTTTTCACGGTTGGGACTAAGGCATCGATGGTACACGGCCCACAGCGTTGATCGATCGCACGTTCGCTTGTTTCAGCTACGACGGCGGACACTCGAAGGAGACCGAAGGAAGTCGGCCGAAGTTTCTGGAGACGATTCGGTTCGTTGAGCATTACCTGTGTGAGCTCGTTAACCACAGCTGGCTGTTCTCCAACAAGGAGCAGAACAAACTTACCTACCAGGTACGCACGCACGCACGCACGCACGTATGCACGCACGAGCATGCACGCACGCACGCACCCAGCACGCACACGCACGCACGCACGCACGCACGCACGCACGAGCACGCAGTAGCAGCA